CTAAATGTCTTGATAAAAAACAGATGGCTCTTTTCCCAAAGAGAAGATAAAGAGTTCTTTGGCAAACTTGATTATATAAACTTTTTCAGAATGGTAGTTTATTGATGAAAGAATCAAATGTCTACTTAAATATTTGGTTAAAATATTTAACCAAAATATACACATATATTTAGAATCATGCATGTATTTTATTTTTAAAAGTTGCTTCTTCTACTCACATATTATAAAACAATTTTAAGTAAACTTTTTTATCACTAGAGCAGCATTTTTCGCAAATAAATTATTAAACACTGGAGCTGGGAAAGAAGCTTAAAAAAAGAAAAAAGCAAGGCCAGAGAAGTTTTGACTTGATGTAGGACCAAAATATGAATATATTATATATGTATGTAGGCTTTTTATTGATAAAGTTGTGAGTTGTCACTTAAAATCTCTGTAAAAACCTGTAAGCAAATCATATAGTGCAATTCAGAAATTAAGATTTAGTAAGAATGAGACCTGAGAACACCAGTTTGATAGTCACGGTCATGAAAGACATTATATCTTTCTTCTAGTGAAAAGGAATTAAGGACATATATGACTTAAATGGCTAGTGAAAAGTAAACAACACTGAGGAAATACTTTAATATATTCATAGCCTGCAGTAAAGGTATTTTTGAGAAGTTACACTATTCCAAGAGATAGCTTTTTTAGGGTATTCTGCAATAAAGCGCCTGGACTAAGTGAAAATTGGCCCTTACTGATATGCTCAAGTTTGGGTTGTCTTTTTTAGTGTTACATTAAATATTTTTGACCTATAAAAAGAACTTGTGGCTTTGCCTGTCATATTATATTTTAGCTGTCTTTACCATTCAAGCTTCCTCGGTTGCTAAATACATTTTTGTAAATGACATAGAAAAACTACTTTTTTATAACATTTAAATGTAAACTTTCTTTCATATTTTTAAACTGTTTTTATTTTAAGGAAGAAGAAGTTTCTCCACAGTTGTTTACTTTCCATGAAGCTGTCTCACAGATGGTGGAAATGGAAGAACAAGTTGTAGAAGATCACAGAGCAGTGTTCCAGGTAAAGTGAGACAGGACCTTTCATCAGAATGTTTCTCTAGAGAAATTAACTAAAACCTTTCATAATTCTTTGACTGTCACACAAATCTAAAAAAGTACTTGTGTGTGTGTATGCATATGTATATTTTTAGGGCATATGACATGGTAAATTTTGAATATACTGAATGGTGTCTACAGATAATCTTTCTTTAAAGATCTAGTTTATTTACTACCATTCTCCCACTTTATTTGCTTTTGTCAGTTGTCTATTTTTAGAGAAGTATTGAACTGCCTTCTACTACCCCTTTCTTTATGTTAGGCCAGTTTATTTTACTGTCTTCATGTTAGCACAGCAGTAAGAAAAACTCCTCTAAAGAATATCAGAACAGTTGAGGAAGTGTCAGACTGATTCAGCTCGGTATTTATGATTTATTTCCTCCTCTAACTAACCCTCGACCGAAGGTAGAGTAAAAGTAGAAAAATGAAGTCATCTTGCTTGGTCTGTCTGTGTTTGTGTTTGAATTTAAGGAAATATTTCTTAATTTTACTGTATATTTTATGGTTATTAATATTTTAGCGAATACCATCTTGAGTATAGTTGATATTTACCATATATAAAACTTATAAATTTGATTCTGTCTTACAGAGACTTATTGGATTATTGCATTTTTGTCCTTTTAGGAATCTATTCGATGGTTAGAAGATGAAAAGGCTCTCCTAGAGATGACTGAAGAAGTAGACTATGATGTAGATTCATATGCTACGCAACTTGAAGCTATTCTTGAGCAAAAAATAGACATTTTAACTGAGCTACGGGGTAATTCTTTTTTCATTTTAGTGTTCGAAATCTTCTTAATGTTTGTATGTAGTTAGTGGGAGGATTTCATATTTCAGGAGGACATTTGAAGTGAAAATTATGGGTACCAGTTAACATCTTTTTAGAGTTATATAGACAAACCAACCATTCTGTTATTTCTAAAAAAGAAACATGGAGTATCATTTCAAGTGCTCTCTAGTCATGTCTTTAATCTTTTGAGAAGATAAAGATATTATGATTATAGAGGGAAAATGTATTTTAACAAATTTGTAAATTTTATATACACATTCACATTTTTAGTTTGGTAGGCCAAGGCTTTTCAGAAATCTTTTCCTAGGATTACATCTATTCAGGGTCATCTTTCTATAGCCTCCTATCTACATCTCTTTTCTATACATCTTGTGTCATATTTTCTCTTGGAATACTTGTTTTAAAAAATAAAGATTTCAAGAAAACTATTCTTTCTACTTTGCTTATGAAGAGAAGTAAAGTATGTGGCTTACCCACATGTCATGTCTTCTTGGCTTTTTAATTAGTTTATCTATGCAGCTTCAGATATGCATTTACTGTATATGCTAATTTCTTAGGCATACACAAATTAGCTGTCTCCATTTATATGCAAGTGGGCATATGTGTGTGCACTTGCAATGCAACTTGAACCAGATTGAGATGGCTGGCTTTTAAGCACCGAACTGCTTAAATTTTTAAACTAAGTCCTGTACAAAGTTGGTTATTTGAAATCATATCCTATAGAGTTAGTAGTGACTGTTCCCCAATTTCAGAATTGTTTGTGCAGATGTAGTTTCTAAAATTTAGTTTTTCATATTCTTTATATTCAAGCCTTGATTTAAAGTGTTTTGATCATCTTTCTGCCATAACTCACAACCAACTTTTCTGTATGCATTTTCTTCAGACTAGATTATGTAGCATTAACTTAGTTTCTTTCCTTAATTAGTTGTGACAGAAAATATCTAGACATTATCAAATGTCCTTGGACAAAAATCACCCTGGTTGAGAACCACCATTTTAGATTTTTTAAAAAATCTTCACTGCTGTTGTTTGCCCCCAGTTTACTTTTTATTCTTCAGTGACTGAATCAGTACATGGTAGACAGTAAGACAGAATTATAAGACCAAGAAATGCATTTTCCTGTAATTCCCCGTCCCCATCTCCTTTTACAATTCCTTGTGTATGAGGAAAAATGTTTCTTTTTTAAAACTTGTTTTGTTTTTTTTTTAAGTTTCATAGCTTAAAAACGTAAAATAGGAGTTGGGAGTAGAAATTTCCTAATATTGAGAGAAGAAATGTCAATTTTAGTTTAATAAGATTCATTGTTCTTTTTGGACGTGACTGTACATATTTTACACATATATATTGCCTGTCTGCATTCTAAAAGTAATTCAAATAAATTAAAATTGAACACTGTAAAATGTGTCCAAAACAGAAACCCGTTGAATATTGAAAAAAAGCAGGTATTTCCAGAAATCTTTAATGAAACTGTTGCTGTAGTTGAGCATTGTATTTAGTTCTGAGTGTCTGGACAGCAGAGAAGAAAAGGAAAAATCTTGAGTAAATGTTATGAAATGAGAGAGCTGACTTGATAGGACCCATAAAGTTGTATATTGTATTGTTATACAATACTTATTCTCTTATTCTTCTTTTTCCAAGATAAAGTGAAATCTTTTCGTGCAGCTCTACAAGAAGAAGAACAGGCCAGCAAGCAAATCAACCCGAAGAGACCCCGTGCCCTTTAAATTGGCATTTGCTGCTATAGGACCCCCAGAACCCTCAATACTGTAACATATGATAGTTCAGCTGTAAAGGCCGTTTGAAAGTTTGAAATTTTAAGTGTCTGTGGAAAGTGTCTTGTCCCTTCACCTGAATGACATTTCAGTTTTGTGAAACACAACTTTGTCTACAAAATGCTTCTAGCCCAGGAGGCACAACCAAGATTTGGGAATATTGAAGCATTTTATTTCATTTACCCAAATAGTGATTTACTTTTGGAGATCCTTGCCAATTTTATTTTCTATGTAATGAAGTAAGATTGTGGACTTAATCTGGAGGTGAATAGTAGGGGGAAGCCGCAGCATTTCCTTTTAACTCGGTTCAATTTTCGTAGCAAGACTGAACAGTTTTAAATCCTTTGCGTGCATGCATACCTCATCAGTGATTGTACATACCTTGCCCACTCCTAGAGACAGCTGTGCTCACCTCTTCCTGCTTTGTGCCTTGACTAAGGCTATTGACCCTAAAATTCTGAAGCACAGCCAAGATAAATTACATTCCTTATTTGTCATTGTAAATTTACCTTTATTGTGTGTACATTTTTACTGTATTTGAGACATTTTTTGTGTGTGACTAGTTAATTTTGCAGGATGTGCCATATCATTGAATGGAACTAAAGTCTGTGACAGTGGACATAGCTGCTGGACCACTCCATCTTATATGTAAAGAAATCTGGAATTATGATTTTAAAACCATATAACATGTGGATATAATTTTCTTAGCATTTTCTTTGTAAAGAACTAAAATATAATCTAGTTGGTGTATAATAAAAAGTAATGAAATTCTGAGAAGAGTTTTATCTTAGGGTAATACATATATATGCAGTGTGTGTTTTGGTGTGGTATTAACAAGACTAATAGTGCAATTTGACCCTTACCAATACCATTACTCTTAAGTTCAAGTGTCCATTTGCACCCCAAAATGTACCTTTTAAATGTACTGTTAAAGGAAATTGGCTTCTGATGCATGAACATTTACATGTACATTGAAAGTAGTCCATAATAGAATTGTTAGTTTAAGCCAAGTGTAGACAGTACATTACTCCCTTGAAAAAGAATTAAGCTAAAAAAAGAGTTGACTGCCTTAAAAGGCAGATCTTACCCAAGCTCTCTCTATCCATTACCTAATGTGATGTTTCACAATTATGTGGTGAGAGTCACCAGATTGTCACCGATAAGTTGGTCTAGGGTATGCTACTTTTTAAATGGTGGCACTTATTTTTACAGGTTGCTACTCCAAGGAAAAAAGCTGGCCACTTTTCATGTAAATATTTTGTTAAAAGATTTATATATCTCTCTAGGAGTTTTCCCTCTGTTCCTAGGAGTCCAGGAGTAGATTAACAACAAAAAATCTCCCAAGGATATCTTTCTTGTGTTGATTTACTCTAGGGAACCGCTAGCTCATTCATACGAGCCAAGGGAAGCTATGAATAGAGAGTCACATGAGCCAGATTCCCAACTTCACTGTTCATAGAATTCAGAGGGTAGTTGTGGAAATCCTAACACCGTATTGAAATGCTCCTCTGTAAACTTGAAATCTAGAACAAACGTAGATTTTGACAATGTGCTCATTAATAAATGAAGTCTATGGAATGAGTTTAGAGATAATTTTCTTCAATATAATCACCTTTGTTTTGGAAAGGACTCAGGTTTTCTTGCAGCTATAATATATGTTCTATTTGTGTTTATTTCAAAGAGAAAAGGAAGAGTGGAGAATTGTTACTATTGGCCTTACAGAGGCTGTTTAAAAGGTAGTTTTTGAGGCTAACCAACCTTCAAAGGGCAATAAAAAGAGGAGCTTGCTCATTTTAAAGCTCAATAGATTAGTCTTAATTTATTATGTAAATTACATGGGTACTATCTCTGGAAGGTCCCTTTATATCCAAATATGCTGCCTTATCCTATAATGGCTTTGTTCTGATCAGTAATCAAGGTATATACAAAATCAGTACTAGAAAAGATCTTGGTAGTATAATCCAGTCCTTTGGTTTTACACATAGGTAAAACAAAAGGCCAGAAAAGAGACTAAACTTCAGCAGAAGTTCCTAAGGAGTAGAGGGAAAGCGGAATTAAATCTTAAAATTTTCCTGTAAGTATAGAGATGGTACAGGTGAACTTTGTAAAGTAAGCAGTTTTGTGATATTTTAAAAAAACCTACTCTTAAGTATATTTAATATTTATGTAACAAATGTGGTTTGATGCAGCTATTTAAAGAATTTTTTGGATCTGGATTAAACATTCTTTACTTTCTCAGACTTGAAAGCTGATATCCCTATTAATAACTAGAACAAACATTTTCATAATATAGGAATGTTTTAATATGTCACTTTAAAATCAGATTTCAAAATATCTGTCAAGGTAAACAACTTATCTTTCCTTATGTTTACTCAATGTACCTGTGTTAAAATAATTTGGAAACACTTCTGTTAGGTATAAAGAAAGCCAAATATCAATGAAGATATTTTTATTTCCTTACATAAATAAAATAATCAGCTATTATAATTCTTTATTAAAATACATTAACACAGTATTATATCAATAATGGTTTAATAGTAGCTAATTAAGACTTGATTATGACATCTATTGAAAATCTAAACCAGATATTTTTAAAATAGCCTAAAACTAAGCATCATATTTATGAAAAAGTACTCAAAATTTTAATTGTCCAGAAGTCATATGAATACTGGGAACTTGTACTTGTGGGGGAAAGGTCAGCTGAATTTTGTTTTATTTGTTTTGAAGTTGAAGGTCAGATTTTAACTTTAAAGCCAGTTTTGATTTATAAAACCTTTAGAGATTTTGTTAACTTATGACTGTCTCCCCAAGAAAAATCATACAATCTTATCATTCATTTCACATTCTAGTTCAGCACCTTCATTTCAGAGGTAAGGAATCATGCCCAGAAGTAATATGTCTGGCACTACGTGATCTCAGTAGCTGACTTAGGCTTACCCAGAACCCTGGTGTAGCCTATGATGTTACAGGATAGCTCAAGGGGTAGGCAATGATAGAAGTTGTATAGGATAAACAGAATGAGAGAAAACAAACATTTTAAGGAACAGTTGTTTTACTATACACATGAATAACAAGAAGAAATGGCATGGGTATATGGGACTAAGTTAAGCATATTTTAATTTTTACACCTGAGAGACATAGGCCTAAAGAGCTGAAGACCTAGAGGTCCTCACAATAATATATAACATGAAAAATAGGAAAGTAACATCTTTATACAATAACCTGTTAGAAATGATAAGTTTGAGTGTAAAGTTGTGCGTGTCTGCGGCTCTTAAACTTGAAGATTATGTTCAGATTGGACCCTGCCCTATGTTAGATATTAAAAACAAACCAAAATCAAAACAACTTTGGTACTTAAATGGACTTAACTACCTTAAAAATTCAGAGTAATAAGTGTTGACAACAGCAATATTAAATCAAAAATAGTCAAGCACAGTGTCCCAATGCAGGAAAAGCATATTTCATCTTTTCAAATCATTAAAAATATATAATTCCAGTTTCGTTTCTTGAGTTTGAAAATTCTATTTTCCAGATACCTAAGAAAAATGGATACCTTCTGCATTGAATCCATGTAGCAATCTAAAAAAAGAAACCAAATTCAATTATTGAAAAGCTAACTTGTAGCACATGGCAATGCATATAGTTCTCACACCATAAATTTTAAAATATGAAAACATCAGCAAACCTATGAAGCCCACCCACACCTCACACTAGTCATTAAAGAAACTTCCTCAACTAAACATTGGTTTAAACCACATCTTTTTGGTACTTCTTTTTTATCATAGCCTATATATCTTAAGATGAATTTGACTAAAATTGCCTTAGACCTCCACTATCTCAGACTTAAGAAATCATTGGCATTTGTTTCATTTCAACATGATAAGTGAACAAGAGCTATCTGGAATGAGAAGACAGATGAATAACTAATCTTACATATATGTCCATGCTTCCTCTCTGAGCCATTACCAGAGTTCAAATTAAGTATTTACACGTTGTTTTTCTCTGGATACCTACCTATGTACTTAATCAGATCCTAGTTAGCAAACTGCACATGCTTAATTATCTTGAAGAAAGTTTGTGAGAATGAAGAAAATAAGATGAAATATTTTTATTTAGACCTGAGGTTATTTCCAGTTTGGCCTGTAGAAACAGGTCAGGATGTATTAAAATGTCTAAAAAAGTGAGATATAGGTACTTATAGGATTAACATCTAATTAAAACTTCAGTGGTATTACTAACCCGCCAATATAAAATACGAACCCATTTGTCTTAGTTACATAGAAGTGTGTTTAGAAAAATCAAACCAATGACTTTTGTTAATAATCTACTTTTTATTCAGCCCTTAGAATATGGAAGCCTTAAAAATGAATTGGTTAAGAGGCAAAAACTGTGCAGTATGGGATGGTTTATTAGGAAATCAAATTGTTAGTGATTAAAAACGGTGAGTACAGATTAATAATTACCTGGGTAATTTAAGCCTGATTCTGTTTTCATGAGCCTTACTTGTTTAATTCAAGAAAAACAAATTTTAGTGTACATTGCCCAGATGATTATGACACCCTTTAGGTGTGCAGAACTTGCCTCAGTCTACAAAGTAAGTATGTTACTAAACCAGCTAGAAATGATAACCAGATATGATTGTAACTGATTCTTTCATGGTTAGTCTATTTAATAATAGCTATTCTCAATAAAGAAAGAATGAACTCCAACTACATGTATTATGATCCTTCTACCTTACAGGCTACTTGAAGAGACAAACTGTTAAGACTATGAATGGGAGTTGGGGAAGGGAGCTGGAGAGGAGGAGCACACACACCACAACACACATTGACACAGAGGCTATCTCCAGGCTAGGACTGTTATTTACTACTGTTCTTAAAATGTTCATTCTGCTGCAGCTAACTAGCCTCTATCTTCTACACCAAATACTATTCCATGCCATGGAAGTGCTATGCAATAACTCCCAGGTAGCACCTTATACTGCTTGAAAGCCTTTAAATCTCTAATCTGAAGGTGTCACAGTAAAGAAATGTAAACATTTCAGAAAAGAAAAATGTAATTACCTGATGAAGTCATCTATGTCCATGGAACGGGCCCGCTTGTCACTAAAACCTGTGCTGGTTAGGATTTGCTGTATTTTATCTGCTATGCTGAAATCTTCTGGTATTATCTATCAATATAAGATTCGTAATAAATGAACAACATATCTTTAATGAAGTCACCTCGACTCTTTTTTTTAGCTCAGTCAAAATAGTCATCATCCATCTGTTCATGACAGTTTAGAAAACCTATATGTGCAGATAAGACTTGGATCTCTAATTTGTTAAGTGGCTGATCTTTTAGCACATACCAAATGCTCAGAAGATCTTGAATGAGTTAATGTATATTGCCCTTTTTCTTAAAATTTCTAAAATAGTTATCAGTTTCAGGCTTCACAAAGTACTTCATAGCATAAAATAATTAGATCTGTAAACTAGATTTTAAAGCAATTGTTACTCCTTTAACACATTTTCTTGGCACAAATCTCATTTTACCAGCTAATTTTTCTCAAAGAGGACCTCTCCAACCCATGAGAATGTTAAATATACTTCACATCTTTCAAACAAAGATTTTTTAAATCCAGCTTAATATTTTCTAAGGCAGATATTTAATGAGTTTGTTCATAAAAGAAAATGGAGGTAGCAATGTGGTACATTAAACTACGTAAGATCTGAATCCAAAAATACAAAGGAAATTTGCTTTTATCTGCTCTTTAATTAATTTAAAAGAAAAGTTATCAAACATTACATAGTCATTCTATACAGGTATATGTATGTGGTCACAGACAAAATCAGTTAAAGAAAATGTTGCACAAGTTAAGGGGCATGAGGTTCACAACTGGAAATCTGCTATTCAGTCTATATTCTAATTTCAATTTCTGGGTATTAAAAAAAGTTACTAAGAAATGGTAACTTTATAATTGCTATATGAGCAACAAACAAGAAGGGATAGTCACAATTATTTCAAGCTGTGCAAGCTACACAAGCCTAAACCTTTCAGGAAATTATGACTCAGTTGAATCTGGCTCAATAAAGTAAACAGAGTGAAGTAATGAAGGCTGCTCATATCTGTTGCACAGGATATACATCAGCACTGACCCGTTAGAGTTAAAGCTGTGCTAGTTATATATTACATGCTGTCTTTTAAGGATCTTATGGAATGTACAAAATGAATTTTGTAATGATAGATGAAAAAGGAATGGACATTTTAAAACAAATTAAAAGCACAGAGAAATGTTCTGCTTACAGTATTATGAATCGAACAGTGAATTCGGTAGTTTTTTTCCAACAGCTGCTGTACTGCACTTGACCTGCAGCATAAATAAATGACATCACTATTATTATTCCAAAATGAGAGATTATTAATAATTTCCTTTCAGTTTAAGATTAAATCTATGTTTTATATGGCAAAGTTAAGAAACTAAAAAATGTATTTAATATTTACACTTACAAAATGATCAAACTACGTAGTTATGTTTAAAAGTCCTAATGAACATCTCAAATTTTAAAGAAATTCTAGACTCCACAAAACATCACCTCAAAAAAAAAAAAAGCTAAAATTAAGGCTTTCATCTTCTTTCGCCCTTAGTACCCAAATGCTATTATATTTTTCCAAGTTAATAAAACTGCACAAATCTTAGATGTGGCAGGGGTCCATCATTCCTCCATTTTTCCAAGGAAAAATTAGGCAGTTGTGTGATCAACTTTTTTTTCTTTTTACCAAAAAATGTGATCTAACTCCCAACTCCAGGAACTTAGCACAGTATCTGGAACTCTGGTCCTTCATGCATTTTAGATTAGTGAAATACTTACTTAAATGCAGCAGACAGTGTCTTGTTTTTCCTAACAAAGGTGATCCTTACTAGGCCATCCCATTCCTGAAATAGAAGATGGATATTTCCTTAAAAATATCAAACTTCTTTCCTAGGCCTGCTAGGTATTATTTTGTCTTTTAATACATAAAAATGAAAGGAACCTTCTGTAGTGATGAAAATGTTCTCTATCTTGATCTGGCTGACACATATGCAGAAGTAAGATGTATACCTTTTTGAACTTGTGTATACCTCACTGAGTATTTTATCCTCACTTTAAAAATTTTTTTAAATTTTTCTAATTTTAAAAATTAGAAAAAATATATAACTGTTCCACATCTAAACAAAGAACAACATGGCATTTTGGCATCTAAGTGTCATTTTTAAAAAACATGATTCGAAACAGGTTAGAATATATCCTTTGCAATACACCTTGAAGGAGTAATTGACAAGCCACTCCATTTACCTCCAGTTATTGACCACACAAGCAATTGTTTGATCCAAAGTGATTGCAGTAAGGTAGCATATCAAGTAACCTGGCTTTCCTGTCTTTAAATCGCAAAAATAGAATTTTGATTAAAAAGTATTACCCATAATATTACTCTTAACAGTTACTTTCATTTTATTGTTTTCCATGTCTTATTCAAATAGAGATGTTTTCCACAGCTATTATCTTCAGCAAAATGCAGTGGCATTCTAATCTCTTTACCTTTTGCAAACATTTTCCACACTTTTTTTGTGGTGTTCATAACTATCTTGAGTCAAATTATTCCACCTTTTCCATCAAGGGATGTATCATAATTAATATTTTCCTGTTAGGACATTTAAGTTGACTCAGTACTTCTCTGGTCCTATAGGTATACATCTTCCAGCATGGACTTTCTTTCTCCTTTATTGAATGACCCAGTATTTTAATCTCACCTGAAAATTGATAGGTGGTGGTGGATTCTTAGGTTCAAGTCTTACAACACTGGATTCCACCTTGGGTGGTGGTCTGAAGTTATTCTTTCCAACCTGTTAATTATAAAGTGTTTAAGTAGTCCTCTCAAAAATATAAATTAGTAATCAATTATGTTCTCATAGAAGGCACAGCTAGATGATCAAGGATGAGTTAAGTCACATTATTTCAATAATAGTTACTTACTTTCATCAGATGGTCCACACGTGCTAACAGTTGTGTATTAATTGAGAGTCTACAGTATAACTTATCTCCAGGTTTTGCAACCAGTCGGAGAGCAAATTCTCTTTGAAACATAAGTATAGCACATCTGAAAAGACAGCAGAAAGGAATAAGAAAAATGGTGACTTTATTAATTTATTTGAACTTTAATAGATTTTCTTGGCCAGGAAATAGAGCAAAGCAGTATCTATGGTTCTATGGCAATTAGTCCAGCAGGTTAGAAGGTAGAACACTTAGCTTTATTACCACAAAATGATCCAGTTAGCCTTTTAATTTTATAATGGCTGCACTTCTCATCCCTTCCAAATGCAACTCCTCAATGATCAGATGAGAAAGTATTTCAGATCAACACTAGTCTATCACCCTTTCTAGGAAGACAAAACCAAACCAAAAGTGGCTCAGTAGACAAACTATATTCACGGGGTAGCTAACACCCTTATGGTAGAGCTGAGGTAAGACAGGTAGGTTGCGAAATCAGGGTCCCGATTTAACAGGTTAAGAAACATGGACTTTTTATTCAAGAAATGGAGAGGTTTTTGGAGGAAGCTTGAACAGATCATCTTTAAAGCTGGTTTCAATTTTCAAACTTTTTTGATCACACGTTGCACTAAAAAAAAATCTGACATTGTAACCCAGGCCACAAATATCTCTATGTATATGTTTATGTAACTCAAACAAAACTTTTATAAAGCTATAATCAGTAGGACCACAGGCAATGTATGCCCACTGACACATTCTATTCAATGTCATGACTTACTGACATTCTACTCTATTCCATTTTTAAAAAATGACAGTTGTGACTCATTAAATTTATTTTATAACCATTAAGGGGTTTTTGACTTGAAGTTTGAAAATCATTGTTATAGAATGTACTAGAAGCAACTTAGATGGCCACTACAATTATCTAGACATAAGGTAATAAGAGGTCTAACCTGGGCTAATGGCAAGCGGATGAGAAAATAAGGAAAGGTCCTTTGGTCTCAGAAGCAGAACTAACTTACAGTATACCTCCCCCAAGTAACTGTCAATTGAAAAAAGAAAAAAGTAAAATCTCCACGAAAATCGGTATTTTCTACAAAACAAATTGTCCAGTAGTTTTTCAACTGAATTAACTTTAATCTTTGGCTGTCTGTGTTTGTGGTCTAAACTGTCAGTCTAAGATTTGGCAGTAATTTTGGTGTTTGTCAACAAACCTGAAAAAAGGTCGGTGCAGCAACAGCTTGAAGACAAAAGGAGAAGAGATCTGTAAGAGAATTAACTAGTTATTTCTGGGAAAGACACACCAGAGAAACATTTAGTATAATGTTAAAAACATACCTGATAAGGCAAATTTGCCACACAAGCATCAAAGAATGGCAAATCTGTTTTCAACACATCACCCACCATTACTTGAAGTTTGCTGGCCAGAGGCCTGATAATAAGAAAAAAGTAATTAGAATAATATTCTTTTATGAGATTGAACTGCACTTTAATTCTGTTATGAATACTCACGTGCCCTGAACTCTTTTGTGAAGTTCTGCTACTAGCCTTGGGTCAAGTTCACAGGCAATTACCTAAATTAAAAAAAAAAAATTAGGGTAATTATGGAGTATAAAACTTTTATCTCAACAGTAATTCTTATGTGATTTGTATGAATTAAACCTCTTTTTCCCAATTCTACCATCAATATTCCTTTAATTATTCTCTACAATTTCGAACAACAAGAAACATCACCCAGAAAAGTGGACAACGAGATTACATGAGAGTTCTACCTAAATGATAGACAGAATTATCATGCTCATCTGGCTTCATGGTTTATAACTGCACAGATGAAAAAGAAACAAAATGTCTGGGTAGTAAACGTTCTTAGAAGCATACACGACAACCGTCCCAAGAATGAGTATATCATTTTTCTCATCTATTAAGTCCAGAATACATAGCATTGATAACTTCTCAAGCAAAGAAAAGGGATACCAGATAAGGCTGAAATTGTCTTTTAAATTCAATATCAGCTGAGGTTTTAATTACTCCCAGGAAGACCATGTCTACAGAGTAGACATAGGTCCTACTTAGTCTGTTTGGCTCCTGGATCCTCTCTCAGCTTTCTCTGTACCCTGTAGGGTGATGCAGTCCAGCTCCCTCACCCTCTGACTTCTGGTAGGAATTTGTCAATGAAAGGTTCCAGCATTATAGGGTGCAAGGGTAGAAGCTGTAAATTTCCTAATGCCTGCCCATGCCTTGCAGATGTTCTAGCAGTGGCTATGTTCCCCTCTTCAATGGCTCCATAACACAGTTCCCTCTTCTTATCACTTGAGGCTGTAGATGGCAACTGTTATCTGCTGTTGCTAGTCCCTGGGTGTTTCACTAATGCTTACTGGTTCCCTTTAACTCCATTCCCACATTTTGTCAATAGTCTCCATTAAACTTTCTTCAGATAAGTTCTTTAAAATGTGCTGCCTACTTCCACCAGAGGACACAACAGTGGTTCCATTTAATTAGAAACTGGGTCATCCAAAAGACAAAGATGGTACTATCAGCAGCCAGGTGACACCCCAATCTCCGAAGCCTATGCTCCAACTCTTCATATCTCCTCTTCCAAAGTTCTAGGTTCCAATATCTCCAACCTCCTTACTTTATTTCCCCGAGCCTCGAGGTGGTAGCTGCTCTTTGGAATTACTTTTCTTGGGTTACCTCAATGTTCTCATTTCATTCTTCTAGTTCTGTAACAATCATGTAATCAGTTCCCTATACTACTTTCCCTGTATTGAAATGTCTAATGTGATTTCTGTTTTCCTGATATAGCTCATATTTTTTCTTTTAATCCATTTTTTAAAAATTGAGATATAATTAACATATAACATTAGTTTCAGTTGTACAACATAATAATAATATATGTGTATACACTGCAAGATGTCTATCCAGCACTACAGTTATAAAATTTTTTGTCTTGTGATAACTTTTAAGATCTACTCTTTCAGCAAGCTTCAAACATACAGTACAGTTTTGTTAACTATAGTCACCATGGTGTCTATTACATTCTCGGGACTTCTTTATTATAACTGGAAGTTTGTACCTTTTGACCACCTTCACTGATTTCACCCATATTTTCTAAGACAAAGTTTCTAGCAAAGAATCAAGAGTAACTGTTAAAATAATAGCAATTAATTAAAAGATTTATATGGGTAAACCACCTGAGCTTACTCATGTAGTCATTTCTAATTCTAAATACTAAATATTCTTTTTACCTTTTTTGCCTTTTCTAGCAACTTAACAGTCATATTGCCAGTTCCAGGTCCAACTTCCAGCACCACATCAGTTGGTCTTAAGGCAGCCTATAAGCAAACACAACCACTTCAGCTTCACTGGCACATCTCAATACATAATTTAACTTACACCTGAACAGCTTTGCTCAAAAGCACTCAATTAAGAGATTTTATACTTATTTCATTTTTAGGAGATTCATTCATGATCTATGTGCTTAACTAATTTATTCCATTAACATTTGATGCAAGTGGAAATGTAACATCTCTCCTAACTTGGGACAATAGTTAGAAGTCAGAAAATTTTAGGAGTCAGAAAAGCAGGAGAGCATTTCTGGGACTGGCATTTTACTTTCTACCTTGGAAATGATTCTGATAGCATCTTATTAACAACTCTGTCATCGACAAGTTCAAACTGGAAAATAACGACCTTGTTGAGAACCATAGTGTGTTGTACCAGAATTCTTCAATTCTCAACCCATGAATGGTTTCAAGAATGCAGGAATACCTAGAAATTGTAAGTAAAACTGGGTGTTTGTATGCATACAGCTGCGTTATTTTGGGTCCCCAGCTTTCATCAGATGCTCAGAGGAATCCATGAGCCAAAAAGGTTAAAAATCCTCATTTTGCCAACAACAGGAAGTCAAGGTGGGATCCTTTGACTATGTAAAGCTCTTTCTACAGCTCCAGGATGCTTCCTTTGTAGCCATGAAAGTAATCTGCACCACCTACATTTCATGTCCTAGCACCCAATCATCTGTCACAATAAGAGACCAGGCAGGAAGAATACTCTAAAGAGTTTATATGTGGAGCTGGATTGTACCATACAAGTTTCTCGGGGCAAACAAACTTTCTATGATGTCTGTTTAGACATTATCTTTAGGCTCTGGAGTAAATAAAAACTAACAGTCATAGATAGTGCCTAGAAAAAGTGATTTTGAATAGAATAATCATCTAGAATTGAACAAATGTCCAGCTATAAAGTAAATAATTTATAGAAAGAAAAAGGATTTGGAGCCAGTAGAAACCCAGACCCACAGAATAAAGCAAATCATGCAGAAGACAAGCTTGTGAATCCTAGACAATTCTTCAATTCATTCAACAATTATTTATAGAGCATCTATTTTGTGCCAGGCCTCCTCTCTGCGCTTAAATATCCCTAAGAATAAAATAAATAACCCAATAACTACCTTTCCTCTTTCACACCCACCTTCTCAATAATGCTGTTAACAATGAGAGGATTTTTCAAAATGTGCTGCCCAATCCCCGTGTTGAACATGAGTCCTGAAAGAAACAAGAAACAGCTTTAATTTCCCAACTGAAATTAGATAGTAGACCGTTCCGGAGCAGAAAACAGGTTGGTGAGCGGAAGATACCTGCTCCAACAAGCGGCACCAAATATCATGTTTCGAGCCGAAACCCACACACTGTTTAAGTCAATCCCTTTGGTGGACAGGAACCCAGAGGCAGCGCGCTGGGCCTGCAGCCGGCGCCCCAGGAACCTCGGGCTTGCGCGCTGAGCGCGGGCCCGGCCAGCCTCACTGCCCCAGCCCAGACCTCGGTCTTGCCGGAAGACTCGACTCGACCCGACCCCAGCTCCCTCCTGGCTGTCCCCACCTCCCGCGCTCTTCAGGTCCCGGCGCAGTTCCTGGCGCGCGCGGCGGCGACCGCTCGCCCCTGACTTGATCTTCGGCATCTCTGAAGGCAGCGGGCCCACAAGGCCCACGAAGTCAGCGAGGACCAAAGCCGGGTACCCGGAGTCACCGCACCACGTGGGAACCTCCGCCCGCAACTTCCACTGTACTCCCGGCTACGAGGGAGAGGGGCGAGGACCCGTCACGCCCCGTTCGCTCTGGGCTCCGCCTCCAGAAAGGGGGCCAACTTTGGAGCCCAGTAACCGCGGGAAATTGTAGTCGCGAGCTAGAGAAAAGTCTAACCTCGCGAGCCTACAGATCCCGGAAGGCACCGCGCTACCGATTCTGGCAGTTTGGATTGGCTAGTTTAGAATGGGGGCGGAGCCTGTCGTGCCTGTGCCCACCCCGTTGGTTCAACAGGTTTCGGTGGAGATTGATGTTATGTAATGTGATTAGGCTTTGTGGATGCTGTGTCAGGCCGGGTTCCAGGATCGCTGAAGTCCAGAAAAGGTTTCTTTCTGTCACGTGCTTCGCTCCTGTTTCCTAGCAGTTTTGGGGTGGGAAACCCAGCACCTTGGGATGAGGAGTTTGCTCCTTTGGGGGAGTGTTCCCCTTCTGGCGTTGTGGAAAGGAACTCCAAGAGTACAGTAAGTGTCTAGTGCCACTAGGGCTACTAGTTGCCTCGCTTCCTTTTATGCCCTGTTATTCATTTCCCAAACGTTTACTGCGCTCTAGTTAGGTATTAAACACTGCCGGGTGCTGGAGATTCAAAGTTAAATAGTTTATTCCACAGTTTATGTCAGTGTGAAGAAAACAGTAAAGCAAAGGAGAAAGAGATCCACGTGGAGGGTGGGAGAGGCTATTTTAAGTAGCATGGGAGACAAAAAGTCCAAAACTCAGTAAATGTGGTAATTGGTATGCATTGGGTATTGTGGTAGGACAACGTATCCAACTATAAGCTCCATGAGTACGAGGTCCATGTCACTTTTGCCTGCCAGTGTATTGGCTTTCAGTTTTTAATGTTTCTGTATGTACCCAATTTCCTTGAAGAAACAGGTTTTTTTCTGTCATTAACAAAGATGACTTTTCCCTGTACAATTTGTGTGTGCATTTCCAAGCCTTGGTCTTTCTTTGCTGTAGTTTTAACTCAGGCAAAAACTTGTATACCCTAGTAGCATCTTCTACTACCTAGTTCATTCCATTACTCATCATTATATTCCACAATTCTGGAGAATCTAGTGTGCCAGCCACTGTATCAGATGTTAGGAATAAAAAGGTTAACATGACATGATCCCTGCTTTTAAAGAATTATCAAGAGTGGGAGACAAATAATTGCAATAATAACACCATTTGCTGTTCAGTTATGTCCCAGGTACTTTAAGTACATTATGTCATTTAACCTTTCCAAACAGTTCTCTGAAATATGTCTTATCATTATATCCATTTACAGATGAGCAAACTGGGGAATAAAAATGTTTAATATCTTGCTGAACATCACACAGTAAAAATGATAGCCTCATCTTGAATGTAGGTGTATATTCCAAAGACTGTGTGTTTTAAAAGAGGAATAGCTATGATCATAGCACTATGACTAATATTTGAGGAAACTGGGGAACATTTTCAAAATATAATATTTGAGCTGAGTCTTTAAAGGACAAACAAAAGTTAGCCAGGAAAAGGTTGGGGATTCAAAGAGGATGGCATTAACAAAGCCAAGATATAAAGATGTTTACGGAAGAAAAAGAAACTTGGTATAGCTGAGGACTAAATAGGTAAGGTAAATAGGGATTTATTGTGAAAGGGCTAAGATGTATGCTAAGGAGCAAGGGTGGTCACTGAGGAATGGTAACCATTTTGCTGTCACTGCTCCTGTCTAGGTTTGAGAGCTGCTGGGAATCACACAACAGTGAAGATAGGAGGCATTAATAGACCACATTTAGCTGAATTCTGAACCCTGCACAGCCTCTCTTCTTGAATTCCCTCTAACCTTCCTCTCTCATTCTCCATAAAGTTCTTCAAACCTTAATTCTTCTCAGTCCTCCTTCCTTGCCACCTCCCCAGCTCCTCCTCAGAAGACCTTGCCTTTTAGTTTACAGAAGGCATCTCAGCCATACTCATCTTCTTGGGTCACTGTTCTGCATACTGGGGATCGGAGCCATACTCATCTTCTTGGGTCACTGTTCTGCACACTGGGGATACAGCGATGAGCAAAGCAAAGTGGAGCTAATAATCTAGTCAGGTAAAACATTATGTCAAGAGGTGATAAGTATGAAGAAAAAGTAGAGGAGAAAGATCAAGAGCGTGAGTGTGAGAGGCTATTTTATGTAGCATAGGAGGCAATAAGAATGGAAACCAAATGATAATTTTCTTTTGGAGTAATATAACAAGACCTGGCTAGAAGAGGTGTCATATTTTAAGCCATATAAACTAAAAGAATGAAGTGAATGTGCACATTTAGCTTAGCTAGAGACTAAATTGGTGTTTGTCTAGCTGTGAACCTTGAGCCAATTGCATCAGATATACTAGGACAGGTGTTATGGGCTAAATTGTTCCCTCCTTCCCCAAATTCCTATGTTGAAGCCCTAATCTCTATATTTGGAAATAGGGCTTTTAAAGAGGTGACTATTAAAATGAGGCCTTCAGGGTGTGACCTGAATTCAACCTGACTGCTGTCCTTATAAAAGGATAAAATTTGGACATACCAGGAGACACAAGGATGTGTGTGCACACTGTGAGAAGGTGACCACCTGCAAACTAAGAAGAGAGGCCTTAGGAGAAACCAGCCCTGCCGACACCTTGATCTTGGACTTCTGGCCCCCAGAACTATTAAAGAACACATTTCTGTCATTTAAGCCACCCAATCTGGAGTATTTTTTTTTTTTTTTTATGGCAACCCTAGCAAACTAATATAGCATTAATGAGAATTCCCATTCCCAAGCCCCACTCTAAACATTCCGGATCAGAATAGGTTTGGGCCCTGGCAAATAGATTTTATCAGAACTTCTAGGAGATTCCGATGCACACTAAAGGTGGGGATTCACTACTTTTTGCACTAAAATAATGGTTGAAGAATTTCTACAGGAATGAAAATATATGGGGAAAGCTACCATCATCAATACACAGTAATCGTTCAAATAATTGGGATCACTTAGTATTCTGGCCAAATTTCATCCATTTTTTTTTTTTCTGTTAGTTCCAAGGCATCATTCAGAAGTGAGATAATATTGGATGCAACATGGATCCCCTGAGTCCTAGGGAATTGTGTGATGCTGAGATATGAGCTGCATTAAAGAAATGAGCTTTGGAAATTTATGCTGGAATGTATTGGTTATCTTTGCAGCTATGAATGGCTTTGTAATTATAAAAAATAATTTCATGCTTCTCTGGTTCATGTTTATATCCTTTGTTAATTAAAAATAATTATTTTTCTCAATGTGTGTGTGCATAATTGATTCATTGACATTCTTATAGTTTTTTGTTAGTAAAATGTTTTGAAAAAGAATTATAATAGCATTTGCTCTTGTAGAAGATGCTTATTTACATTCACAGCATATTTTAAATGATAACATTTTAAATGTGCAGAGAATATAATAAAGAATAAAAATATAATGTGAGCATTTTATTGTAAAAAATATAGTTTCTTGTAACTTTTAATGTATTCAAAAGTGATAAAAACAATGTTTGAATTTCATACTTTTGACAGAGTCAGCACTGAAATATTATGTTCCTTTGAAAGGAATATAATTCACCTGAATGAGATTAAACAAAAATGAAAATGAAATCTAATTAATATCAAACTGTTTGATTTGATTAGAACAATGAAACATTATTGTGATGATATCCAAATCTAAATGCTAAAATGAAATGCTGCCTCACAAAGCTTGACAGTTTCAGAGTACCTAGAGATTTATTTTCCACTGTACTGTCTATTAACAGAAAATTTTGATGAAATTTGGCTGAAAGAAATAATGTACCTTGAATACTATGAGCAAGATTCTTCCATAGACATGTTCTGATATTTTCAGATCATAAATTTATGTCCAAAGTAACAACGACAGAAATGTAGTAAGTAAAACTAACTTTATTTTCCCTTTCTATGCATTTCCTGGGCCTCAAACATAGGACAACTACATTATAAACAAAACAAGAAAACAAACTTGCAAAGATCTTGAAAAACAAAGTAGAAAGAAATGAAAAATTTACCTCTGATCTCCCTATGCTGGGATAATGTCTATGAACATTTTGACATGTTTTATTGTTTTAGCAATATGTATTTCTAAATAGTTGAATTAATACAACTTACTGGTTTTCTTTTTCATAAAATACATGAAAATAAAAAGCATTTTTCCAAGTTATACAGTCTTGATGACCAACATTGAAAGCTGCTAAAGAAGACTTCACCTTGTGAATGCATAAGAGTTTACTAAATCATTTTTATACCATTGTTGTAAAAAATAAAGGCATACACATTTTAGTGCATACATGAAAGATATTTTCTATGCTTTGGATTATTTCCCTAGTGTAGATTTCCAAGAATATAATTATTTAGGCAAACTCTGTGAACATTTTAGTCCCTGGATCTACATATTGACAAATTATTTTCCAAAAACAGTTGAATCAATTTTCATTTTTGTAGTATATGAAAAAAATGCCAAGTTCACCTAAAAAAATAAATAGTACAGAGTATTCTTATGTACCCTTTTCCAAACTAGAAATAGTTTTATTATTTCTTCTTGTTTATTAAAATAATACTTAAACATTACAAAAAATAGATAATATAACAAGATTTCAGAACATAAAACCCACCACCCAGAGTTCATTGTCATTAACATATTTTCCAAGACTTTGTATATATAAAAATTTTCTAAGCTCCTATTCTTACTTAACTAAATATGATGGACATGTTTAGTTTAATGCTAATGAATATAAATCTACATTGCTATTTTTAATATGTTGATAATATTCTATTTTAAGAACATACCATAGTTAATGTAATCAGTCCTTACTGAAAGCCATAGTGTTTCAAGTTTTTAAAAAATCATAAACAAAACTGAATCTGCTCCAAATTATATTACCAGGGGCAGATCAATTAATTTCTCAAAAACTTATTTTCATAACCTGGTAAGAGTTAATCTATAAGTATCTAATGAGCTGTGTTATGGAGTTGCCCAAGGCCCAATTTTACACAAGTTGCAATATTAAATGAAATGTAGCAAATTGGAAAGCCTATGACTTTGGAGCATGTATTACTTTTCTATTGCTACTGTAAAAAAATTCACCACAAACCATAACTTAAAACAACACAAATTTATTATCTTAGAATTCTAAGGATCAGAAGTCTAAAATTATCTGCAGCGTTAAGGTTCTTCCAGATGCTGTAAGGGAGAATCTGTTTCCTTGACTTCCAGGTTCTCTGGGCTGCCTGTATTCCTTGACTCATGGCCCCACATTGCTCTGACCTATGCTTCCACAGTCACATCTCTCTCTGATACTTTCCTCCCTCTTATAAAGACCCTTGTGATTATATTGGATAATCCAGATTAATCTTCCCACCTCCAGATTCTTAATTTAATAGCACTGGCAAAATTCTTTTTGCCATGAAAAGTAAATAGTCACGGATTTCGGGTATTAGGATGTGGATATATTTTATTCTATCTACCATAAAGCATGCATCTAAATTTGAATCTGTGTTCCTCCACTTTGGAATATCACACGTTCCTTATAGCCTTGTTATTCAAAATGTGACTGTGGACCAGCAGCATTGGCATTAACTGGAAACTCATTAGAAGCAAAGAATTTCAGGCCCCACCTCAAACTGAATCAGGATGTGATTTTATCAAGATCCCATGTAATTCTAGGCAGAATTAAAATTTGAGAAGTATTACCTATCAGTAAAATCAGAAGATACAATTAAGTAAAAAAGAAAAAAATCCCATAATTTTAACTAGTGACAAATTCTAAATTTTAACTAGTGACAAATTAACATTTTGGCATACATTTATTTTAAAAAGAGAATATCCTGAACATATTGTTTCGTAATCTACTCTTTCACCAATGCATTGTGAATGTATTAACATGTCAACAAATTCATGTCAACATAATTTTAATGGACAATTTGTGTTTTATTATATATGCATGTATCATGATTTAATCATTCTTTTCTTGGTAGTCACTTAGATACTTTTTACATATTTACTTTTAAAAACAGCCTTGTGCAATGAACATCTTTTTAATGCAGGACTTACTGCCTGGTTCAAATCCTAACACTGCCACTTACTAGCTGTGTGACTTTTGGCAGGTTACTTGCCTTCTCTGTGCTTTGTTTTTGTTTTTTGTTTTTATCTGTAAAATGGGCATAATAAAAAGCATCTCAAAAGATTGGTTTGAGGATTAAAATACATGATTCATATAAAGAACTTAGAACTATTTGGCACATTGTACATGCTCAGAAATGTTATCTATTATTATTAATCTCTATTTTTTTTTTCATAAGTTCTCTTTCTAAAGATAAGAAAACTTAGATCACTAAGCTAGCTAGTAGCAGAGACAGGGAGAACTGAACTTCCTTCTTAATCTTTCCACCCTTGCTATCCTTTTGGAGTAGAGCACCCAGCAAGTTTAGGACCTTAAAAAATATTCATGAGGGGATTGACTGATGAGAGTAGGACCCATGAAACAGTGCAGTTTAGCAGATGATATCTAGACTACAGAAGGGAAAATGGTTCTGATTTAAGCTTCAATCAACCCAGGAAACAATTGATTTTCTCAGGAGTAGGGAAACGCGGCACTATGGTTTCCATGGTTACAGATCCCGCTGAGTCCAGCCTGCCTGCACTCTATACTGCGCAAGCGCACACTGCTGATCTAGATGCCCGGCGCCTTGGGTTTCGAAGAGGAAGCCCCTCCTTCCTCTTCCCGCCGTTGTCCTATCGCCGTCATTCTTTGCTATTCCACGCGCTCTGGGAGCCGGTGACGCAATATTCGCGCGTCCGCGTCGTTTAGAGCTGCGACGCGGAACATGGCGCGTTCCTAGAAGCCGCTTTCGGCATCAGTAGGCGGCGGCGTGTGGACTGTAAGCGTGGGGCGCGGGGCCAACCGTTGCCGCTTGGTGTTGGGAAGTGGAAGCGGGAGAACTGGGCTATTCCGGACCGAACCAAGCGGTGAGGCCCCGGCCTGAGAGCCCCAGAGCGCGCGCGATGAAAGGGAGGAGTGGGCTGGACAGCGGAGACCTGTAAGGCGAAGGAGGAACGTGGGGCTACCGGGAGATAAGGGATAACAGTGGCGCGGCGAGGGCGGCCTGCACGCTTGACTCTCTGCGTAACCCTAGGAACTCCTGGGAGCTCGGGGCTGCCCCAGTCAAACGGGAGCGGGAAGCATGGCATAGAGGAACCAGGGTACGGGGAGGCAGACACTGGGTTGCAAGATGAGTAGAGCGTAGGGTGCCCATTCTGGATGCTATTGCGGGCCAGGGTGGTGCATTTGCCCTTGGGATATAGGTGGTGCAAATTTTGAGAGACCATGGTCATCTTTAGTATAAAACCATTGTATGTTATCGCACACACGACACTGCTGCTAATGGCAATACTGTGAACGCTTTAATTAAATATTAGATCCTTGCTTGCCTTTAGTGAAGGAAGTGAAGGAAGGTACACATTTTCAGAGAGGACCTGCTTGCTAAGGTATGGCCGCCAGTGCTCAAGCCCAGTGACTTCTGCAGCTTTATATTTGGGGGGAATTTGTGATTGAGCAATACGATTTGAGGCCCATCGCATTTGTCGTTTTTCTTTAGTCTTTTGTGACATGGTGGTGATTGAGGGAAGTATTATTTCAAAGTAACTTGACTAGAATAACTAGGACTGGTGAATTGCCTACTGGTGCCAAGATTGCAATTGACATACTCCCTCCCCACCCAGTTAAAAGGAGCTTAGTTGTTGTAGTGCGGTAGTGTCCTTGAGTTTTGGTTATTCTTAAGGGAGTAAGGAAGAACAGTTTACAACCATATATTTTTGTTGGATGGAGAGTTCACTCCTCCATTTTCATGTTCTTTCAAACTTCTATATTCAGTGCAGAGGCTTCAGGTTAAGGACAGAGTGACTACAATATAAGACATCCATTGTAAGACACCTTTTCTTATATCTTGTCACAGAGGAAGATTTTTGTGATTTTAGAATGCAAATCTCTCCCTATTGGTCTTGATAGGAATGTGGACCCCATCCCCCTCCTCCCCAACCCGTAACCTAGCACAGGGAATAGTAGAAACAGTTTAATTATAGCAGTGCTTTGTGGCAATATGTTTTAGCCCTAGCGCGGCTAGGCTGCTCTGTCCTAGTTACACTTCCTAAAGCAGAAGAGAATTCTCACCACAAATGAATTAGTTGTGGTAATATGATTAGAGGTTCTAACAAATGTGAAAATTATTTGGTAATTAATACAAAAATCTTTATGTGACATTGCGAATGTGTTTGCATTCAGATCAAATTAGAATGCAAAAAAATACTTGTAGGCTTGAGATGCTAACGATTTTTTTGGAAATAAATATATATGTTTTTCAAGAAATAAAAATATTTCTATTTTGGGAGATAATATGTTTGATTAGATAGATTTTAACTTTTGTGTTGCATGTATGTATATGAGTGTATATTTGTATTTAATTTTGGGCTTCTAGTTTTGTGTTATTGTTGGCAGAATTATTCTTTTTCTATCTGCACCCAATGTGGACTGTCAGTTAATATCAGAGTAGTTCAGGGAATGTACAGGTGCGAGTCTGGAGTGTCTTTGGTTTTCTGCATATCAAGCTGATTACAGATAAGCTCACAATTATAAGCTTTGTAGAGCTTGAGCTGGATCAGTGTTCTATACCCTTGCTACGCAAAATGTGGCAAATGGCATCACCTAGGAGTTTATTAGAAATGTACCATCTCAGCCTTAACCTTAGATCTACTGAATCAGAATTTGCATTTTAACAGGCTCTCTAGATGACATGATCTACATTAAAGCTTGAGATGCACTTCAATTGATAAAGAAGACTGAATAAATTATAGCATTATTTATTTTAACATGAGATCATCTTATGCTGATTATCGTGTCTGATGTATCTGGTTAAAGAAACTAAGGCCCAGAAATAGTAAGTGACTTGTATAAGGTCACACTTTTTTAGATTCATAACCCAGATTCTGATTCATTCCAATGCTTTTCTTTTGCTAGTTGCTGCCAGAGTTCACCTTATTAAAATTGAATTAAAGCTTTCATTAATGACAGCTACGTGTTCATTTAACAACAAACATTTATTGAGTAATGGACGAGCAGCCCAATAATCCTGTATGTCTCCAGTAACTACTCCTGTTTCCTGTGGTGGTTATTAACCCACCACTTCCTTTATTCTTTCCTGGATAATGTTGCTTTCTACTTCACAGAGGTAATGAAATAAATTGGTGACAATTTTACTGCTTTTTGTTCTCTTTCACCTGCAAACATGTCTACCTCTATTGTTCATCTCTAATTGTGCTGAGTTTTTACTCCTCAGGGAGACTTTCTTTAGTCTGTTATTTGGCTAGGGCTGCCATAACAGAATACTTCAGATTGTGTGACTTAAACAATAAATTTTTTTTTTTTTTTTTTTACAGTTTGGCAAGCTCAAAGTCCAAGATAAAAGTTCCAGTAGGATTGGTTTCATCTGAGGCCTCTCTCCTTAACTTAACAGATGACCACCCTCTTTTTGCCTCTTTACATGGTCATGCCTTTGTGCACTGGGACCTCTGGGACCTCTTTTTCTTATTAGAACACCAACTCTATTGGATGATGGCCTCATTTTAACTTAATCATCTCTTCAAAAATCTCTCAAATACTGAGGATACTGGGAGTGAGGGCTCCAACATACGAATTGGGGGGAAACACAATTCAGTCCATAACACTTGGTGATCTCCTTTTTACTCTCTAGTGGCACTAACTTATCAGGAATTAAACATACGCATCTTAAATACACTCTCCTCACTTTAGATTCATCTTTCATTTCATCTGTAATTATTTCTTAAGTTTCTTGAAACAGTTATATTAATTTTCTCCACCTTTTTACTACCTTTTTTTTTTTCTGTATATTGAAGGCTGGCAGTCTCCTGTCACTGAATTTAATGGGTTGATGATCACCATTATCTCTGTTGTGAAACGTAATGGAATCTTTTTAGTAATTTGACATTTTGACTAGTTGTCCTCCTTGAAATACTCTTAAACTTCTGCAACACTTATTTCCTTTCTGTGTCTTGGCCAGTCTTTCCTTGGTTTATTTTTCTTTCTTCTCTAACCACCTTGATATTCGTTTGACTCTGGGGTACTGTCTTCTACTTCTGCCTACTCTCCTTGAGTGGTCTCATCCCTGATAACTTCAACCGCTAGCTCTATTTTGTTGACTCCCAAATCTCTGTCTCTTTAGCAAAGATTGTTCTTGAACTCTGACACATTGTTGTCTTAAGATACCTTAAACTTATGCCAGAAATTATATCTAACCCTTTTTGAATTTGCTTCTCTTTCTTCCATGATCCTTGCATGCACCACTCAGTTGGAGATGCCTAGAATCTTAACTCATTACTTGTATGTGCTACTCTTCTCATCACTTACTAATTATTTACCAACTCTTATACCTCTTTCATCTACTCTTTTCCTCTGGCTACTACCTTAGTTCAGATTATCATTATTATCTGAATGTTTGTATAAACCATCTAAATAATTTCTTTGCTTCCAAGAATACATACCATCCCTTCTCTGCCCTTCCTTTTTCTACAGGCAGATTGCAGTGTGACTCTACAGTCCTTCCATGCAGACTTTGAGATTAAAATCCAAACTACCAAGCCTAGGAAGTAAGGACCTTAGTGATTTGGGCCTTGCTTGCTTTTTGCTTTCACCTTCTGCTGTTTTCTGCCTCGTGTGCTTCTGTCATGCCAAACTATCTACAGTTTCTCAAAAGTTTTAGGCTGCTTTTTAAAATTGAGTCATTTATGTGCCGTGTGTCTTCTGCCTAGAACGTACCCCTCACCTGTCTGACAAACACCCATACTGTACTCCTGTGGATAACTCCTACTCAGCACAAATGCTGCTACCTTGTTTCCTTCTGGGAAGCCTGCCCTAGCCTCCCTGTGGTGAGTTAGGCCTCTTACATTCTTCTGTGTAACAGCTTATAGCATTTACATTATATTGTAATTATTGTCTTTTTTCTTCTCTAGACTTGACTGCAAAAACTCTCTCATTTATCTCTCAGAGTAATGCCTGGCCAATTAAAACTACTTCATTGTCGAATACTGTAAATCCAAATTGAATCACCAGAGAGTTTAATGCAGGCTTTATCTTCATTCTAATCCTATGCTCTCCAATCAGCTTTCTGATATTTACTTGGTTTATCATTAGACTTTTCTACCTTCGTTTATTCAATAAGTATTTATTGAACACCTACAAATGTCAGACATTAGTCTAGGCGCTTGAGATACATCTGTGATCTAAAAAGACAAAAATATCTCTGCCCCTACGGAGAGCATGAAGGCATACCTCGGAGATATTGCAAGTTCGGTTCTAGGCCATAACGAGAAAGCGAGTCATAATCTTTTTGCTGATGGGGCGCTTGCTTTCAATTGGTAAAAAAAAAAAAAAACCACAGCATCTGTGAAGCACAATAAAGTGAGGTGCAATTAAACAAGGTATGCTTGTGCTCTAGTGGAGGGAGACAGAGAAATATATGGGTAGATTATATAGTATGTAAGAAGGCGGTACACAGGGCCACGAGGCAGCTGTGAGAGAAGTCCTGTTCAGAAAACCCAAGTATTCGTGTCTCACTTGGAGTTTTTAGTGAAATGACAATAGTAAACTATAATAAGTCTCTTGCCTGTTTGGTATATGTGAATGAACACCTCCTAATGAGAAAAGTTAAGGAGCTTATCCTAAACAGTAGTTAGCCCTACACCAAGATAGTGCCAGCAGTGAGGCCCCAAGTAGTGTTACTACCTCTTTGACATCTCTTTGGCTGAAACAAAAAAATACACATATGTATTAAAACTAGTAAACAACAGCCGTTATGCTTGTTGATTTTAAAATTCCTTCTTTGACATAAAGAAATAGGAAGGAGAAGCTGTAAGCCTGATTTTGAGCCAGATACTGTTCTTTGAACTGGAGTAATAGCATCTGCCTAAATTTAATAAACTATAACTGATCAGATTTAAGTTTAATCAAAACCTTTTGCTAAGTTTAACG